TTAAAGAAATATTTTAACAGTATTTTTATTTCTTAAAGTTATGACAAGATGTTATCATTTCGATATTAAAATAACAAAAATTTGGAAGGACAGATAAGATTGACCTGAAAAATTATTTTATTAATAAATTGAGTTAAATTTTGAGTAAATTTCAATATGTCTATAGTTTTATATAAAGATAATTATGAGTATAATTTTAGTAGGATATTTTTTGAGTTTAAAATTCTTTTTAAAAAAGATATATTATGAACTATTTTCTATTTCTTTCCTTTTTTAGAAAAAAAAATTAGGAAAACTGGATGGTTCCGAGAATAATTAAGCTTTTAACAGTTTTCTTTGTATATCTGATTTATTTGATTCATGAATTTTATCAAACACATCTTTAAAATTTGGTAACTCTTGGATAGATCTAAATTGGAATATGAGTATTAATTTAAGTTTTACTCTGATAATATATATATAATTATTATCAAAGCCAGCTCTTTTGGAAATTGGTCAAGCTTGGCTTCAAAATATTTTAATAGTAAATCAAACGATTTACGAATCATAACCTTTTTGATTAAGGTGACTAAGACATCCAAAGATTGTCATATAAATGATAATTTACGCCTACTAGGTTATAAAATAACAAAATACATTAATTGAATTTATTTTATAAATGTTTATGGTTTGAATGATTGATTATTATACAAATAAAATTGATTAATTTTTTTTAATATTATAATGCAAGTTTAGATTCAAAATCTTTTTACGTCTTATGGATATAATATTTTTAACTAAAATTCGGTAATTTGGTAGAGAAATTAACAAATGCAAATTTTTCTATTTTATCTTAACATGTGATTGAAAATTAAGATTGTTAGTTATATCAATTCCTTTATTTGGCTGAATTCTTATCCCTGAAAATCTTTCTTTTTATTTTTCTTATATAATCTAAAATTTATTCGGGTTTATTACTTCCATATATTTTCTAAACAATCATTTGAATAATTAGGAAAAGCACATTTGTGTTAATTCAGAGACATGTAATTTTTTCATTATAAAATTATTAAGCCATTCAAAAAAAAATCATCCACAAATTTTTTAATTGAATTCTTGTTTAATAAGCAATCTATATTATTTATTTTAGGAAATATGCAATAATATATTTAGAAATCGTTTTTCAGCAAATTTATACAAACAAGAATTATTTAATATTTTATTTCATGAATACTGGAGTTCGATTTATATCAGAAGATCGAAATTAAGATCTAGTATATTGTTTTCCTTTAGAAGACGAAAAGAATCCATTTAAGAAGAATAAGTATATACCATTTGTGTTTTTAGGGCATTTGCTCAGTAAGCTTCTGTAGATTAGAAAATTAATTAATCTCTAATTAAGACTTATTTCATCTTAAAAGTGCTGGGAATATTGATTTTGTTATTTGGAATCATTTTTTTGATACTAATGGTACAAGGACAGAATTCATTTTTATAATAATAATGATGAAATGCTTAAACTCTAAAAATCACTAGATGGTCTTATTTTTTTGGGTTTATTTTAATAGTTGATATAATTGCAATACTCATTTATCAAATAGGTTCTAAGGAAGTAATCATTTAGAATAAAGAGGCTCGAAACCAAGATAAAATAGGTTGGATATTATTTACTTCATTTACTTTTTCATTTATTTTTTCCGGTGCCACTTTGGGCTATTATTGTTAAATAAGGTTTGATGCTGGAAGTAATACTAAATTTAAACATAAATAGCTTCGTTAGTCATCAGCAGTATTTTTTACTTATTTATGGCGAATTTATTTTTAGTGATTTATATATGGTACAAGAAATAAGAGTATTATTTTAAAAGTAAATAAATCATTATCATTCTAGATTATATGATATTCATTTCTTTTTTAAGTTGCATTTTTTGGTTTTTCTTAATGATCTATTTTATAGATAATTGTTGGAAATTTTTATTTTGTGGAATGTTATTGATTATATTTGAACTGCTGATTTTCAGTTCAGCCCATTTGATTATTTCAGCTTTAGTATCATCAATATATTATTTAACTAGTCTTTGAATTTAACCGAAAAAGATTATGCAATAACTGTGCCATTACTTTTTTGTGTTTCTATCTTGCTCATATTGGGTTTAATCCTCATAATTGTGATATTGATTCGAAGAAAATCTGATGGTGGAGATGGTGGAGATGATGGAGATGATGATTGAAGTTTGATAATTTAAAATAAAAAGAATCTAATTCAATAAATATTATTATTATTTATGAAATATATCACTTTCATCAATAATATCTAGTTTTAATTTGTGTGAACCAATATTTTTTTAGTAAAAATCTAAGCGAAATTAATTATCCTTTTAATTGAGACACTCTTATTAATAATGGATGATAGTTAATTCAAAATTATTTTTATCATATGTATATTTAACAAAAAAATTTGTCAAAATACTGAAAAGATTTAATTATTGATTATAAAATTACATTATGTTTCGGAGAGTTTGAGACTTGATAAAGGGAAGGATTCCTAAATAAAATATATAAATCATACATTTTTCAGAAAATTATTAAAAATACTTAAATTACATATATGTTATTAAGGAGGAATATAATTATGAAAATTAGTAAATTGGAAATGAAGGTTTATTTACGAAAAAATATTATTAAATATGATATTTTCTTTGAAAATTATCTTACATTTCGAAAACTAGGTAATAAAGTTGTTTTGGATTTTTGAAAATTGACAATATTATAATTAACAATTAAAATTTATAATAATTAACAAAAAAATTTGTGCATGATTTTTGAGTTAAAATAAAATCTTACCTACTATCAGGTAATATAAAAACAATAACATTATAATATAATTTTGTCAACAATATTGTAATAAAATACTATGATTAATTTACTTTCTATAAAGTATATTATAGCTAGTAGGCTTGAATGGAGATTCTATATTTACGTAATCTCTTGTCAAAAGCTTTTTAATCGACTTAAATTACGAAATATGACATTAAAAATTCTAATTCTAGATAAAGCAAATTTCTAACTCGTCTTAATAGTCAAATATCATCCTCTCATTACTAGAATAAAATATTTAATATTAATGTATAACATTTATATTACAGAAATATTTAAATGACCTTAATTTAATTAGAATTATAGAAATTAAAAGATTTAAATATGTTCTATTATCTTCTGTTTTACCAGTTATGTGTAATACTAAGTTCAGAGATTTCAAAAAAATGTGTTTGTGGGCATGTTCGAAATGAAAAAGAGTGCAAAAACTCTGACTTTTGCATTTGGGAGGTTGATAAATGTATTTTAAAACCCGGACAAACATACAATAAGGAGATGAATAATTTGAATCAATGCAAGAGATATGCATAAGAGGATTGTCGAGAATAAGAAAAGTGTGGCTTTTATTTTGGTTAATGTATTGATTTTGTAGATTGTATGGTATTCGATAAAGATAATTGTTAAGAATCTTCATATAAATGTGTGTC